CCATCCCTGGAAGTGTCCAAGGCCAGGCTGGATGAGGCTGGGAGCAACCTGGTCTAGTGGAAGGTGTCCCTGCCCGTTGCAGGGGGGTTGGAACCAGGTGATCTTTAAGGTTCCTTCTAACCCAAACGATTCTGTGATTCCGTGAGAGGTAGCTTCAGGAGGACAATGTAATTGGTATTCTGCATGAGGTTTAGAGAACTGCGTCTAGCCAAAATAACTTTATCTCTTCTGATGAGATTACAGGTAGGGCCAATACAGGTAATAAAGTTGGTGTAATCATGTGACTGCAGGTTTCATGGCAATTTGATTAAGAAACTGCCAGCATATGGAAAAATCAACACACTACACGCTCAAAGGATTAAAATCCAACTAACGGGTTTCTGAAAAAGAATTTATTAGGAACTAAGAGAAGCGTCAGCCATTTGGGCTGCCATCAGGGTTCCTTTCTCCCTCTCCCTCGGGGGTCTCTCAGCCCGGGCTCAGCAGGCCCGCGTCTCCCGGTGCCGTGAGTGTCTGCTCTTGGGCTGGAAGAGGGGGAGCATGAGAGGAAAGGCAGACCCACTGAAAATATGGTGCTGCCAGCCGCAGAGTGAAGGAGCAGATGAGTGAGGGGGCTATGGGAACAGAGAAATTAGATCAGATGCCAGCGCAGTGTGAGAAAAGCAGCAGAAACGGTTGATTTGAACCTGGCGAGGTGGCTGGGGGTTCGGGATGGAGTCCCTTGCAAGATGGTGAAGTGTTTTGGACTGTCAGGTCGGCTTAAATCAGCGGTGCGAAGTGGGAGCGGATGGCAGGGCACTGCAGGCTGCTGCGGGAGGGCTCCCCGCGTTCCCCGGCAGAACAGGGGGATGGGGGGTCCGTGTGTGTCTGTGCAGCACAGCAAACCCCGGAGTAAAGCCTCCGCTGGGGACTTTTAGCAAGGAGGGTCATCTCAGCCCTCCCCAGGGACATCACTGCTGCTGGTAGATTTACGGAGAAGCTGTTAAGCTGTGCCGGGGTGAGCAAACCCTCCGTACGCCCAGGCAAGCCAGGCTGTGGCATCTGACACCAGCTCATCGGTGGGTCCCAGGACACGATTATCTCCCCTTACTGCACTGCTGCTCACTCCGGGCAGAAGTGTGCTGCAAAACTTGATTTGTGCAAAATCAAATTGCATTTCATAGCACAGTTCAGCTCTGCTTTGCCCTTGTATGTTTTAGGGTTTAATTGCCAGGACTCTGCTGCCTCTGCCACAATCCTCTGCATTAAAGTAGATTTGATATAGATAGAAATGATCCATCTATTTACTTTTATTGATGAGCCTTCTTACAATAGCACATGAGCTTGCACTGCAGAAGTCTGCAGTTGCTATGTGAGAACAGACTAACCTTCCCCCCGCTCCCTGCATAGAGAGGGTTGTTTTTAAAGCATATAGTATTAAGTTAGACTTGTTGCCTGCTAAAGGACTTGTTTCCAGACACTGGAGACAGAGAATTTAAGTGAAAATGCCTTTGGCGCAACACTTTGTAAAGCTACAAAAGAAATAGAGGCACAGAAATCCTCTCTTCGTGCAGCCTAAGACAAAATTGTGGTGGCTATTGATGGGCAGGTGGGTACCTCCAAAGGCTGTGTTCTTGTTCCAGAGCATGGATTTACAGATGGGACAGGGTTTGCCTTTTTCTAAGGTTTGTATATGCAGTGAGATGGATCAAATTAGGAGCTGGTTGTGCCCTGATCCCACTTCATCCCTGTTTCCTGACTCCTGTACACGGTTCTTCCTTCCACTCCTTTTCCCTCGTGTATCTGTAATAACTTGGATGGGGTTGCTAGCAGATGCTCAGCAGGCCCAGCCAGCCCCTGCTGCGAGATGTCCCATGTCCTCCAGAGCTCCTTCATCCGGCCGGGAGCTCCGGTTGGGATGGTGGAGCATGGCTGGAGCCGCGGAGCCCGGTGCGGGCTGTGCCACCCCCTCCCTGGCACTTGCCCTTCTCACACCTCAGAGCTGCAGATTTCGGGTTGTGGAGGGGAAGAGATAACCCGCAGGGCTGTTTGCGAGCAGCAGCACACTAAGAATAATCACTTAGCTCTTGCCTCGGTGTTAGGATGATAAATACACATGTAAATGTAGAAAATACCAGCGATAAAGCGGGTGACAAACGGGCTGTGCTGCCTCCGCTCCCTGAGAGGGAATGAGATGCTCGCTACCTGCTTGCAAAGGCCAGGGACGGTTTTAAGCTCCACTTTTATAACTGTAGGATAATGAGGCTGCATAAGGAGCCATGTGGGTTTAAATTATGCCAAACATAAGTTATTTCTTTACCTTAGCTTTCATAAATCCCAACAAGTGCATAAATAAAGGTGAGAGGTGTTTTACAGAAGCCTGAAGCTTCGCCGCCTTTTAATGTTGACATTTGGACATCATTTGTGGCCCAGCTGAGTGCCACGGAAAAGAACACTAAAAATGATTACTGTTAAAATCTTGTCTTTTCGTCTTACAAAAAAAAAACCTAAAAACCCCAAACTTTTTAACCTCTAAATCCAGCAGGCTATGGCTGCGTGTGAGTAAGCGTCGTGACATGCCGAATTAACTCACCCAAGGGAAGAGCCTCCTGACTTTGGGAAGGATTTGAGGCTGACTGGCTGCTCCGAGGGGTGTAAATATTCAGGAAGGGAATTCAGCTCTGGCCACATTGCCTTTTCGGTGTGTTTGACTCCTCCATCCACTGCAGTGGCTTGTCCTGGCCCCTGCCCCATGCAAAGTGGCCTGTTGTCACCAGCCTCCCCATGCCCTGCCCAGGGCTTCCCGGTGTGCAAACCTCCACAGTGAATCCAGCTCTGTCTGCTGTGTTTCCAGCGTTTATTGTGTCGTTTCTTAATTATGCCATCACTGACCGGGCTGCTAATCACAGATAGCTGAAGCTCTTGGGGTTTCCTGCGCTTCGCCCTGACTACAGCAGGTCATATTTTCTAAATGCATGCAGGAAGACGAGTTAGGGAAAGTTATTTGACATTATTTATCTTGATTGATTTGCTCCATTCAAAAAAATTATTGCACAGTCACATTGATGCATACAAATATAGCTCTCTGCAATTTAGCTCCAAGTTCACACCACGGGAAAAAGAACGTTCCAGATCATGCTAATGATAATTTAATATTTTAAAATTGCAAATCTGTGATCTGAAATTATAATATTACGGTGCTGTTGTTCTGTGAAGCAATCAGAAATGGAGATTCAGAGAAAATATTTGCATAATAATAGCTGCCGCGCATGCCTGGGCTCTGATGCAGGTATTTAGTAGTCGTGATATTTCCCTCCCTTACATCTCCTGGAAAACAGAGCTGACTGTACGTCAGTGTTTGGAAGGTTTAGGTCTGTGCTCCTCCTGCAGAAGCTTTTAAATCTTCCTTTACATTTTGCACCTCACAAGGATTGCTTTGTTGATGCTGGCATGACCAGGACATCGCTCCATCTCTCCTTATCCTCACCTGTCGAGAAGCTCTGGTCATGCCCGAAGGCGGAGGGAAGCCTACCCAGTGTGTCCCTCCGGGGATGAGGCTCCTCCAGGCATCTCTCAGCTCGCCCTGCCTCCTCTGCCAAAATACAGGTCCCCTGAAAGCTTCCCTGTGGTGTAAATGATGTTGGAGAAGTAGGTGCCTGCTCAGCACCTTTCACCGGAGAGAGTACAAGTGGTACCTGGTGTGCTGTGCCATGGGAGTCAGTCCTGGCCCTGGGGCTGCTTAGAGGGACTCGGTATGAAGGAGCAGAGTGAGTTTTGGGAGCTGTGACCACTGCTGATGCTGGAAAGCCCATGCAACCAGTCTGAGGTTGCTCTGCCTGCGGTGGTGGAGGGAGATGCTGGAGCGGGAATCAGGCAGCAGAACCACCTCGCAGCGGTGCTGGGCTTTGGGGGCTGGTTTCTGCAGTGGCAAACATCAGGTCAGGCCTGGGCTTTCCCTCGCTGGCGCTGCTTAACTCAGAGCAGGGACGTTCTCATGGCTCTCTGGAAGGTTTTACTATTCAACTCCCTTAGAAATGCCTGGGAGAAGGAGAAGTGGCTCAGGCTTGGGATCCACGTAGTCCTTATCCCTCTCTGCAGGGCCAGCACCAGCTGTGTTTGAGGAAAACAGTAATTTTCATTACACAATTATCTGATAATTTACCCATGGAAGAAGAGCCTTTCAAACCTTTGGCAGGTATCAGTTAGCTTATTTCCTAGAGAGTGAGGTTTTATACCCCTTATGTGTTTTATTCTTCTGTAAGCACAGGAACTGCGGATTTCTGTTCGTGTGTGCATCTGATCCCTCATGATGGCATCCTGTCTCTGCCTGAAGCTAAATAACCCTGATCTTTTCAGTCTCTCCCGCTATGGAAATGGTCTGATAACAAACGATACTCTGCTCTTGCCACCTTTATTCTTCATCTCCAAGGGTCTGCAGGCAGCAGGACTTAGTGCAGAGCGGGGAGGGTGCACCGTTTCTCCTCCAAATGGCAGGTGTCGTGGTCATCCCACAGTTCAGCTTGGTGGAAAGCTCTGCGAAGTGCAGATGTTCCTCACCTGGGTCTCTCTCCCATTTCTCCTCCCATGTTGGATGCGTATATCAAGGAGATGTGAAGTATTATTGCAGATTGGTGGTGTGTGCACAGCAATAGAGCCTCTTTCTTTCTGTAACATCATTTCTTGCATTTTCTGTTCTTCTTCCTTTTTTTTCAGAGTCGGAAACATGCCAGCAAAGTTCGCCTCTATTATATGCTTCATCCTATAGATGGAGGCTGTCCAGCCAAAAAGCTCCGGTCAGAAAACGTGGGTATAATTTAAGTCCTTGTTTACTCAGCTGCTTTGTGAATCATTGACTCTGTGCTACACTAATTTTTCTGTTACAGCCGCAGATGATCAGGTACCCAGAGGTAACGTTTAAATTAGCTGAAATGCTAAGGAACTGGAAATAATTTTCAATAAGCTATACAAGAAATATTATGTGCATCACCAACAGTAATTGCATTTTTAGTTATTTGAATGTTCTTTCATAGGGGAAAAAAAATGCTCCCATAGCAAATATCCAGCCATTTCTGCAGGGTAAGTGCAATGGCTCCCCCCTTGCCTGGGAGGTCCCGCGCGCCGGGGAGGCGG